TGACAGGTGTGGTTTGGAAGCGGTTTGGGAAAAGAAATCGCAGGATCGTATGAGTAAGTTGGGATATTTATTTTCTCGGAATTTTTTATCTGCTGACCTGACGTCGGCCATCTGTGTATCAGATGCGTTGACTATAGCTAATCCCCCGTCGTCCCAACGTGCATGGCTGACTTTTGCAGCGGCTGTATCGTAGTCTTGAATTTCTCCTCTTGATGTTGGCCGGTTACTCTATTGGCCCAGTAAATTGGCCCAGAAACGTTCACGATATTCCCAGGGAATATACTTTGCAGTGTTTTAGTGACCTCATAACGTGTAACGTTTCCTGGCAGTCGCTGATGCACCTTTTTGATCCCTTTCGCAGTAAAGTTCTTGGCAAACTATGCATTGATCTCAGCCTATGGGATGGCACTGGATTGTGTGGTTGATAACCGACCCAGAATTGGGTGGTCATGAGTTGGACCAATTCAGGTGAACCCCATGTTCTGACTGTAGAATTTAAGTGTTCCCATAAACATCCCTTTGGGGTTCATGTCGCACAACATTCCCACTGAAAAAGTAGTAAAAAGGATTGTGTCAGTACATAAGGGGAAATGGTACTAAAGATGGAAACTAAACATAGGGCCCGTGCGAGAAGCAATAAAGTTTCATTTACGGCCTTACATAATGAAACGTTTCCTTTTAATGTTTGATTGTGGCTTTCTCAATTTGGCGACAAACAGTGGACTTGCTCTACGTCGAACCATAGTAGCTGTTAGTGATGATTGATGGGCATGCCCGTATTGTCTCACTAAGTATGGCATCAAGCGACTTGGAGGAGGATGAACAAGGTATAGATGAGAATACAATAATTCCTAGGTACAAGTGGTTTCATCGCATCGGTTGTTTCATCTTTACTGCTACTACATTTGTACATATGAGAGACAGTTTAATTTGGAGTTTACTTGCTTGGTGCTAGCTCCTGCTTCATTCAAATTCACAATATCCACACGGTGGTAGTACAGGAGGTCGGAAGTGAGCAACTTCTGGGTGACACTAATCTCCTGGTGTAAATGAAAGACTACCTAGGATGTGGAACAGAATGTTAGGGTGAATGTTTGTAGTGGAGTGTAGAGGGTGGGGTGGGAGCAGTTAGTACAGATGTGGGATTCAAATTACTCATATATGGCGCGCCGTTTGAGTCACAACGAATGTTTCCAGTAAGCATCCGTAATGATGTCGAACACGAGCAACGAATCTTTTTTCAAAGGCGCGAACAACTTTTACGTGCCCGTGTCTTTGGCCGGTTGCAATAGCCAGTGGGCACATAAATTGTATAATGGTAGCTACGAGGGCAAGCTGCAGAAAGATCACGGCGGTATCTTTCATAGAAACTTGCCAGTTCGGCGCACTCCCCGGTGGTTGGGTCTGTGACAGGAATTGTCTTTGAAGCGCAGCGCGGGCCGGCAATGCCACCGGCGCGCAGGACGCCAGAACTGTGGCCCCGCGCGGCAATAGCGATAGTGAGACGTCCAGCGCCCGCACCGGGACACCCGCAGAGCTGCTACCAAATAATTCCCGACGAACACTAAGATTCGTCGCACGAAAAAAGAATCGTCGTCTCACGAAAAAAAAGATTCGTGCCTGAAAAAAAGAATCGTTCCTCCAAAAAAGAAATTGTCGGCCCTCGTGTCTCCGGCTCCGGATGCTTACCGGAATAAATTCGTTTTAACACAACGAGCGTGCCAATGGACATATCAGCCCTCTCTCCCCTTTTTAATGCCAACATACCCATTATTCTTTATCACATCATGTAATGTTTTGATACAGGTGTGGATCTCTGCCCTTCCTCTACCGAGTCTTCCACCAGCTAGACTCTCGGCTGGAACATCTCTCTCCTACAACTGAGTGTAGTGCCAGGATGCGGAAGCCAAACGCAATGCCCGCAGTGCCGAATTTGTCTGGCAGTGAGAGTCTGGTGGAGTTGGCTACAGCGTGGCCAGGCCACTGGAAGGAGCTGGGGCGGTGTCTTCAGACCTGTGGTGGGGCCACCAGGGTCCTGGCCAGGAGAATCGCAAGGGGCACAGGAACGATAGGAGATGTGAGCATGCTGTTAAAAAACTTGAATTAATCTCCGATGGGGAGTGACTTTTGGAGCCACCCTTTATTGCACTTGATAATGAAAGAAACTAGTGAACCCCCCGCGAACTACGCATGCGCGGTATCGTAATTGATGTGGGGGAGAGGCGCTGCCAGTTCTCGTGGTCTCCGCGAGTATATAGGTCGCGGAGAGGTCTGACACGGGCTAGCTACGCTAGGAGATGCATGTGGGAGTCGATACACGCCCTCTGCTGTAACGTCTTCTGTGAACCTCCAAGGACGCGTGAGTAGGTCGCGATCAGTTCGAGGTAAGCCAGCACGATTAAGGCACAATATTGGCTTTATGCGCTGTTTTCACGGCATATCTCGCGAATGCAGTCATTTCAGGAAATCGCCCTGTGATTTCAGGTTCTGCGTAGTCTGAAGCAATGTTGGTATCGCTCATTGAGCCACCTCGTAGCCTGTAGTGCCAGAATAAGCGCACAACACACAGACACACAGACAGACAGAATGACTACTGGAACCCTCGCTGCGCATGCACACCGAGGGTTAATGAAGAGAGAGAGTTCATGCGTCATAAGCTCCAAAGTCCTGTTTATGTCATAAAGCTATTATGAAATACTTCACACATAGGATGGTGGTTTTCCATCTGTGCATAGTCTGAAACTTCCTCTCCTGTATGTGCTCCTTATTGATGATAGCAAAATCACTTACCCTAAATTCCTTACAAATTCTATGCACAATGCAGGTTATGTGGATTTTAGACCAAACAGCATTCGCGGCTGCTGTGATGAAGCTGTTATGAGTTGGGTGAGTTTACTTTAGCCATGGCATTCGAGAGTAGAATTAATTCCACACTTTAAAACAGTGTCATCAGAGGAGACGTTGAGACTGGCTTACAGAAGAAGATTGCTCAACAAACTCTGTGGCTGCTCGCTGAGTACCAGAAGATGTAATGGGGTGACTTGATCGGAGATACTCAGAGAGAGTCCCGAGTGACCACGGGCAGGGAGAGAGAAGCTGAGCATGTTGAAGGCCTGGCTGGAGAGAGGCTCCTGCCCAGGACATGGCAGGTTAGGTGTGTTGTGACATCCAGTATGTGGTTTATCTGCAATAGCTTTGAGTCAGAAGAAATTGGGTGGCTCTCACAATTAGCATGGCTGTGGTGTGAACAGTCTGCCCAAACTTTAGCAGCGATCTCTCACATAATGTGGTCGGCACATACGGTCCAAGGGGAAGCTCATGTGTGGGTGACTAATAGTCGACACGCCTACACAACACACTACCTGGTATTATAGGAGAGAGAAGAAATGAAACTAGAAGACTTCCATACCTTTCGCTTCCTCCCCGCAAACAAGGAAATGTTCAGCGTACTATGTTTCAGGCATGCACTTTCATCATTTTTACATTTCAACATATGTGTGTGTTGTAGGTGTTGGGGATGCAGTAGAGAGAGACAGAGCTGGTGGGAATCATAAGTCTGGCAAAACAGATTGCAGCTTTCTCTCTGGGTATGTACAGATCCCATTTAAGTACCTTGACGCGCATGCGCAGCAGCGATGGGTTACGCGATACTTGGTCGTGAGTGTAGTGTGTGTGTGTGGTTGGCGTTCGATCTGTGTTACCACGTTTTCTGCAACTACGCGCAACGAGACAACGAAATAGCGACACCAACAGGTCGTCGCTACACTGGCTCATTTTAAAAAGGTGATTGATTTGCTATAACTTCTGCGCGTTCAAAAAATGATGAGCTGCCCTGAAAGGCAAAGTGAAAAAGCCAATATGCAAATTTGCCAGACTTACGTACCTCGACCTGAGCACTTGCCCTGTGTACCTTGGAGGCACAAGAAGTCACAACGGAGGGCGTGATCGACTCCCGCATGCTATATTACTGTAGCAGACTCATACACGAGCTACCAGCGGGAGAACCGCGAGTAAACGCATACTAATAGAGCCCAGCCAACAATTAGCGGTATCGCACATGCGCAGCTCGCCAGGGTTTTGCACTTTAGTGCTTTTCATTTTGTATTACTGACTTTCCATCCAATAATGTGTCCATAGAACGCTATTAAAATAGGACTACGCCCTTTCTTTGATGTCTGTTTAAACATTTGTCACAAACCAACAGCCTACGCAGTGCTCTGCAAAGTAACTGCGTTCGTCGTGTAGTAGTTTGCAGTTTACTAACTGGGTAGGCCATCTGTGTATATATATATAGGCTAAATGGCACTGTTCTACTAAGACAGAAGTTTGTAGATCAACTATACTGTCACATTCACGTTGTTGCTCACATCTGCATGTTGCTTGTATGAACTTAACCTGCTGCACATTCAAACACTATGCAGAGGCCCTCCCAGGCTCCACCTATTCAACTGCCACCAGCCCAATCAACACCAGTAAGTGCTTACGGTTTAGGCCTCTGATGGTCCTTTGTAGAGTCATCTCTTTTGTGTTAGGTAGTGCAGTTGAAAAAGAGAGGAACAACCCGATCGCTAGGTGTGTGTAAGACAAACTGTGTATAATTTGGAAAGTGGGTTTAAACGCCATGATACACGATGCAACTTTCTTGCAAACTTCAAATGTATGAATGCATGCAACTTCAAATGTATGGGTGACGCAACATGTTGAAATGCAAAATGTAACTTTGTGTGTCCTGTCCTTTATACTTATTCACATCATTATTCATCACCCTTATAGACTCCACCCCCAGTCTGAGAGACCTGGCAGTGTTCAAGACCAGATCAGGAGAGAAGATTGAGATCATCAAGTCCCTGGCCCCAGAGTGGAAGTCATTTGGTGTCCACCTCAACTTTGACGACATGGGGTCCCAGCTGTCACTCATTGAGGCTCAGCACGGGCCAGAGTAACCACAGAGCTGCTGCCGGGACATGATGATCCACTGGCTGCTGGGGAATGGGGAGGGGCCCACCACCTGGAGAACTCTGCTGGCCCTGCTGGAGGATGGCGAGAGGGCCTACCTCGCTGACTGCATCAGGAGAGAACTAATAGCTTAGCATTAATATCACTCTCATACAATTTCTTATTTGACAATCGGTTCTGATGGGTGACGTAAATTAGTCTATAGTGTATTAGCTTCAGAGAGACGGAAATAACAGAAGCCCTAAACTCAGTCTTACTAAAATGCTGTTTTGGCTAGGGTCCATGTATATATAATCTGTGCTGAGCCAAAACTTTTATGAATGGATTTCATATGTAGCAAACACAAACTCAGTCGGTGGCATGGGGAGAAGATCTGGTATATAGAAATATAGAGCATAGGAGCAGATCAGATCGTCCTTCGGCTATTTTACTCTGAAACCCTAGGCGCGCATGCGCAGCGAGGGTTAGGACGATCCGTCGTCGGTCACACACGCGGGACAGCAAATTTTAAAAGAGCGATGCCAAAAGGTTCTGCGCTACACAGGCTTGATTGTAACTTTGGCCAATTTCGTAAAAAGTACTACGTTTCAGAGTTAAACAGACTACCACTGGTGAAGGTGTCTACGGATGACTTGAAAGTACTAAGGCAAATGCTCAAAATGGGGTTTCGTGATACGCGAGCGAGCGCACGTTTGGCTAGGCAATGGGTGGGCATGCGCAAAGGAGGCAAGGCCGCACCATGTGTACATGACCAGTCAGTGCAGTACAGAGAGGGAGGCAAAGTGACCGGCAGCTGAAAGAGATAGCCTGAGTGAGTATGAATCAGTGAGAGTCGAAATTTTTAACTATCACATCACAGTAAGAAAATCTGTCGAAATCCTTTTCGGTTATATAGCACCTAGGACTAGTGCTATAGCTAGGGCCCGGACCTCCATTGCCGCCCGGATGGATCATGCCGGACCTTGTCTAGGATGCTTGCCACCCGGATGGATTATTGTTGGAGCAGAACCTCGTCTAGGCCTATGGCTAGGTCATCGACAGACTCAACCAATCGATGCTAGTCCTAGTCCTAGACGAGGTCCGGCTCCGATCACGACTATCCATCCCGCGGGCGGAAAACAAAGGAAGGTGCGAATAGCACTGGCCTCTAGAATGCAGGCAGTACACAGACTCCACTGTAAGGCTGTGTGTTAGTTAGCTAGTAACGCTCAGTCAAAGACCAGGTTTATCTTCCCGGATGGGATGGATGGATCATCATATTATAGTAGTTGAGTGGTTGTACTCAGATTGATGACAAGGACGAACAGCTGTCTTTTTAATAGTGGCAGGTGTGCTTAACTTGAACAAATGCAACACAATGGCGAACAAACACACAAGTTTGAAATATCAGCTGTATAGCTATGTGTATTAGGGCATAAAACATTTTTATATTGGTAGCGTCAGATAGAAATTACTGGCGAGTGGGAAGGAGCTACTCTAATTGACCAAACCAGGCAATTTTTTTTTGCACGTGGTGTTTTGATGAGTCATTGGTGGGTGAAGACAAAACATTTCAGTTTTAAACGGGCTGTCTCATTCACCAGCATTTTTCACTGCTTCGCTTGCCAAATACTTAATTTGTAGATGGGTGTACATACAGCCACCATGAGACCTGTTTCCTATATACAGTGTGGCATAACATTTCTGTTAGCTACCTGAGTACACATTTCGGGTGTATAATAATACTCTTGGCAATCCCTCGCTTCACTGTATATAGGCATGTACAGGAGTAGGAACGACCAAGTTCTGGCTGAACTCTTGTCTTCAATTGATGATGAACATCCCTCGGAACAACTAGGTTAGTGCCTGCTACATGAAAGCACTGAAGTGTGTATATATACCAACATAATACCACTAGAACAGGTTTGTTTTGGTACCTATCACCTAGCAATGACTGGTCCCGGTATAAGTATTGTAACAAGGGAAGGGGAAGAGCTTGGTGAGGTCCATCTGATGTAGTCTCATTAATACTCTGGGTTTATCCCTTTACATTCTTGTAGGTGTGGATGCGTCTGCCACACTCCTGTACCGAGTCCTCCACCAGCTAGCGTCTCGCTCGCAACTCAGCTATCCACCTACAACTGAGTGTCATGGGCCCAGGATGAGATCCACGCAATATGCCGGCCTAGTGCCGACATTGTCTGGCAGTGCGTCTGGTGGAGGGCTACAAGAGTGGCCAGGCCACCTGAAGGCTCTGGTGGAGGCTGTTTACTTCAGACCCGGCTGGTGGGGGACACCAAAGTCATGGCCAGAGACTCATGCGAAAGGAACTACAGAGAGCGAATATGAATGATGTGTTGGAGTGTGCGAAAGCATTGCTTCTGAAAGTCAATTTGGTGCATTGCTAAAGACTACACACACCCAAACGAGTGTGGGAGGAGAGTTTGTGCTAGTACTCAGCACAGATGGACGGGTGCCACTGAGATGTCTTCCAAAGTGTATTGCTCCGACACCGATAGGTAGCAAAGATCCCCCATATGCATGGGGCTAAATGTGTTGCCAAACCATCACGCTCACATGTCAACGGACACTCCTTTTCTGGGTCATATAATTATTCTCTGAGACTGCATGCATCTTGGAGGCAGAGGATACAGATCATTGGGTGCAGCAAGTCAATACAGCTGAAAGATTTCCTGAAGCCAAATCCTCTATTCAACCTGAATCTCTTGCTAGAGATTTTCAATATTGTCATGACCATGTTGTTGACACTCTTACCTTTGTTCAGGTCTCTGTAAGTTTAGACCCAACAGCTTTGCTACCAACGTACAGGCAATTGAGATAGGTGAGTACTTCACATCTGATATAATGTGCATTAAATTTGAGACAATACATAATGGTGCTAAGCTTACTGACTGAGCACTCAGGTCTTTATCCATGTAGCCACGTATGTACTACTTATGCACACAATGCAGTGTCATCAGAAGAGTCGGTGAGACTCATACAGAAGATGCTCAACAACTCTGTGGCTGCTCGCTGGTACCAGATGGGTGTGGTAATGGGGGTGCTCCCCTCTGATCTGGAGATAATCAGAGAGAGTCCCGAGTACCACGGGGCAGGGGAGAGAGAAGCTGGCATGTTGAAGGCCTGGCTGGAGAGAGGCTCTCTGCCTAGGACCTGGCAGGTTTGATAGAGTATCTTATTGATGGTGTGTGTACATGTAACTCACCTAGCAACTCAATGTATCGTTTCGTGTATGGAGACGTGTATGGAGACATGTGTGGGCTATGTTCTGGTTATTGTGGTTTGTGGCACAAGGCGTGTCAATGGACTGTGGCACACCTATTACTGTGTCACATTCAAAGTCCATTGCCACTACTACCATCAAGATAGTGGATGTACTATCATGCACTTTGCAACACTCCACCATTGTTATTTTCAAACCTCCACTTCTCACATAAACTGCAGGTGGTTGTTGATGCAGTAGAGGACAGAGCTGGTGGCAATCATAAAGTCCTGGCAAAGAAGATTGCCAGCTTTCCTCTGGGTAAGTCCCCACATGTCTTTCAGTATAAAAGCTTCTTACGATGATTTTCCTCAAGCCATGAAGTCCATGGATGTCTCTTATTGCAGATCTCATTTTCATTGTCTACTCTCCCCTCCTCCCTTCAAATTATGGGGAACAAATCATGTCGCCTCCTTTTATTATGCAGAATCGTTCCAGGTGATGCCTAGTCCTGGCTCTCCAGTTACCAGTGCAGGTAAGTCAATGCATGCTCAAGCTTGTGGTGCTAGTTTTATTATGTTTACATCACACTGCTTAGGTCAACCTGCTAAACAACCAGTATCAGCCAGATCATTAGGTAAAGAAACCAAGATCTCTGTGTGTCTTGTGTATTGCATAACTTTACACCTCCTAATCTAGACTCCACCCCCAGTCTGAGAGACCTGACAGTGTTCAAGACCAGATCAGGAGAGAAGATTGAGATCATCAAGTCCCTGGCCCCAGAGTGGAAGTCATTTGGTGTCCACCTCAACTTTGATGACATGGGGTCCCAGCTGTCACTCATTGAGGCTCAGCACGGCCAGAGTAACCCACAGAGCTGCTGCCGGGACATGATGATCCACTGGCTGCTGGGAAATGGGGAGGGGCCCACCACTTGGAGAACTCTGCTGGCCCTGCTGGAGGATGGCGAGAGGGCCTACCTCGCTGACTGCATCAGGAGAGAACTACTCTCGTGACATTTACACTACAGACATCATTGGTACATCATAGTTGTCCTTCAATATTCATTTTACCCATCACTCTGATTATGGAAGTTTATAAAATTGGTTAGCTGAGCTCCGAGCTAGAAGTCGGCACACACACACGTACGTACGTGTCCCAACGCCGCGCGCGCCGCGCCATCCCATACGATGACGTCACACGCCGGCGCGCGCTCTTGGGCCATGTGCGTGCGCGCATTCTCGAGCTAGCTAGCTAGCTCTCTCTGATCGATCTGGCACATGCACGTGCACAGGGGCCGCGGGGAGCCATTCCGCGCCGGAACGCTACAGTCCTCCGGTCCAAGCTCGAAGCGTCAAACTCGCGCGCTGCGTAAAACTCCAAGTGCGAAGCGGTCGGCCCTTCCCGGCTTCCATAGAAAGGCCTGGGTGGTTCCGAGGGCGAGGGCAGGTGCGGTGCAGGATCATCTAAGGTGCAGCCGAGGAACGAGGTCTCCCGAGTCGATTGACAATTTCAGCGGGCTTATACGTAAGTCTTCGTAGGTAACTTACTCAAAATTTCGCGTGCACCCGCATTTCAAGTTATTTTCGTGTATCTTCGCGGATTAGGCCATCGCGAGAACATGCTAGACTATTCTCATCGTGCCAGAGGCCATAGCTAGCCCTGATCCAAGGCCTTGGTTACAACAGGTTACCAAACAGCATCTTTGCGGCGAGTCCTCGCTACACCGTCTGTTTGCTCGATGAAGTGTGAAATTTTCAGCGAGCAGCGCTTTCTCATTCAGTACTCACTAGTGGAACATTGTTGGCGAGTGGGAGCGACCCAACTTGGGATTTGCCCGCGATGTTCGGGCTGCATAACTTGCCGTCAGCGCACAGCTTTCCTTTCGTGAAGCAAGACAGATCTACCTGTCGCCGTTACATGCGTATTGTACATTGCCAGAACGGTGAGCAGGTGAGCAGAACGGTACTTACCTTACGCTTTCAACTCGTCAGTCGTGGTCCACCAGGCAGCTGTCATGCAGCAGTATGTGCACGAGCAATTCTAGCGTATTTGCATGTTGCACCTTAGAACCATGAAGATTGGGAAGAGGTACAGCCTCTGTCAGTCACCGAAGGTTGCAGCACATGCCGTCGAATGGAGGAGAGTTCTCTAGCTGGCTAGATCGATCGGCGCATATCGCAAGGCACCGTTTGGAAATTAGTTTCAGATAAAAAGAAGCGCGTACAAAGCCGCGCATGCGCACTTACACGACGTTCCTATAACATCGGCGGTGCTAGCCAATCATTTTGCTGTGTTGTTAAACAAGCCAGAGTTTTGGTGCACAAAATGGTGGCTTTGTTGATGGAAGATTCGCAAAGAATCAAGTGCAAAAAAGCTCATGGGGAAAAAAGGGTGACGATGTAAATGCAGCTGAGTTATGGTCATCCACTGCGTTACCCGAGCTCTTAGTGAAGTATTCTCCTTGCGATACTTATAATGCAAACGAAACCGGTATCTACTATTTTTCAACCGACAAGCTAAGCGGCAGTAAGAAGGCGAAGGAGCGTGTTACAGCTTTAGTGGCATGTAACATGGATAGCAGTGACAAGTGACCGCTTCTCGTTATAGGCAAAAGCAATGAACCGCGCTGTTTTCAAGGGCCGCCTCGTGTACCTACTCCATACATGAATAGTGGAAATATGTAGATGACAGGGCAGCTGGTCCATAAATGGTTAGCTGGTTTCAATACAGATGTTGACAACTGCACTACTCATCCAAGGGACACAAGAGATGAACTTTCGCATATTACTCTAGTCCCCAAATGTAACATCTGTTGTCCAACCTTGTTTATGGGTATTATTCGGAATCTGAAAGCTCTGTATCAAAAGAATGTGGTTACTCGACTAATTTCTTCTGGGAGTTCAGTCGCAGTAGCTAGCCAAAGAAATGAATTTGCAATGCACATGCTCAAAACTGCGGGGCAGAATGTGAAGCAGGTTTCAATAGTAAATTGTTTTGCTAAAGCTGGGTTGTGCCTGAGACCCCACCGATGGAGGAGGACGTAGATGATCCCCCTCCTGGAATGACTGTGCCTGAATTTCATGCTTATGTGGATATGGACATGTCTTTGAGCTGTCATGGTCAGGTTACAGATGATGAAATCTGCAACATCAGGGGAACTACAGACCCTGAACAGGAGTGTGAGAGTGAAGAAGAGGGCGAAACTGCTTTACTTCTCTAGCTCCTAATTGCACACAATCAGAAAAGTTCATGGAAAATGCAGGAGCTGATTTGAGCTACTTGTACAAGCTTGATAGTCAAGTGCTGCAGGTTGCTTTATCGAAAACTTCCCAGACTTCCATCCCTGACTTCTTTTCTCTTTGTTCTCCAGAATACTGACCCTTTCTTCTCTTTTGTTCTCCACTTGGAGGGTGTAACTCTGCTACAAATGTTAAACATGACGTTTCCTATCAAAAATTGTGGTTTAATTCTCTGAGTGTATGACAATAACCGGGACCCACTTTACTGGCATCTGAACCTAATCTGCAAATTATGCTCGGTTGACTTGCAGAGAGATTCTGTATGAACCTGCACTCGAAATAAAGGTAGGATAAAGTAATCACTGGTCATAAACTGACCTCACAGTCCACTTATACTGCTTCATTGTTGTGTCAAGAATGCTGGTAGAGATGTTTATCAAATTTGGATCATGTGTGTCTTGTGCATAAGGCCTAGTCAACACGTTCAGCTGTGTATCATCAACCGGCAAACTGGTCAGCGACACTGATCCATGGAGGACACAAAGTTACTCTAAGGATTGCTGCAAATGCTACTTTAGCCTGACAGTGCCAACTCATCAATTAGTTACTACTGCTATGTGACTGGTTTGCACTTTAGTACATTAGGGGATAGTGCACTTTAGTGCATAATGGGATAAACAAGTAAGGAGGGGATTCGAAATGACCAGGTCGATGTATGGTGTGATTGCAGTCTTTGGTTCTTGTAGTACAGAAAAGCACTAAAGTGCAAACCCTTTTGCACGGTACCGCTAATTGATTGGCTGGGCTATTAGTATGTGTTTACTCGTGGTCTCCCGCTAGTATATAGCTCGCAGTGAGTCTGACACGGGCTAGCTACAGTTGTAGATAGCATGCGAGAGTCGATACACACCCTTCGTTGTGACTTCTTGTACCTTCAAGATACACAGAGCAAGCGGACCCGGTCGAGGTTATAAGTGCATGCGCATTTTCCGCAAGGATAAAGATGGCCGACTACGATTTAGCCGTACAATGGTGGAAGTGCTCTAGCTTTGCAACAGAGCGTTTTCAGAGAAAACCGTTCGAAGATTGTGACCTTCATTGCCCGTTAAGTAGGTGGTATCCTTTGTGAGATCAACGAACACTCGAGAAGTGAGATTGAGAGTAACAGACAGACAGACAGACACACACACAGAGCTAGCTTGCAGAGAGTCTGACACGGGCTAGCCAGCTATACTGCGGGAGTCGATACGCAACTTTGTTGTTACTTCTGTGCCTCCAAGGGATATACACAGAGCAAGTGGCTCAGGTCGAGGTAAGCCAGTGCGATGTGCATATCGGCTTTTTCGCTTCTTTTAACGCCTTATCTCTCATTCATTCAGCATCGAGGGTTTGGACATGCATGATTTCATGCCACAGGAATGCATGTATTGTTGTAATATCTGTTTGTCCTCGTTTTGCTCTATGGCAGTCTACCAGCAATTCTGAGAGAAAGGTTTGTAGTAGCTAGCTAGATAACCAACCATCAGCTAAAAACAGCTGGCCTCCACCTCTCTAATTGATGGCATTCTCTCACTTATACATACGTGCATTTGAACCCCAAAAGTGCAATGCACATATAAGTACCCAATTATCATAGCTGAGTTGCCCTGGTAGCTCAGTTGGTAGAGTGCTTGCCTAGAAAGCATCGTGTATTCTAATCCCACCTAGGGAGACATCCTGGGTGTAGTTGACTTGTTGGCTTTGCCTTTCTACCTCATTGTTGACACTTACATGATTCTGCCATCACTATCCTGATGGCTACACCCTCGCAATATGCTACTGCTCCACTGTGCCTTTACCACCCACTTTCAACTACCATTCACCACAATCCTTTGAGCTACAATACCTGTCTGCTTACTCAAGATCCTTCAATATCATGCAATTGTACATCCCCATGTTGTTAGCCAGTGGAACAGTATACAGTCAAGCCAGAAGTTTTAACGTCACTTTAATAAAAACAAAAAATGTTACGCGATTTTAAATGCGAGGTTGTGCATTGTCCTCATGTGAGTGAGAAGGAGCACAATTACGCTGATCAACTGGCCGTGATAGCTCTGCGAATGATCAAATAGCACTAGCAGCAGCAGAGGCGGTAAAACCTGTCATACAGAAGCAGGAAGAGCTTCTCACCCGCGGGTGTCGTAAGAGAAAGTCGAGTGACTGTTACTGCTATGAAAAGTATGCCCAAATAAAATGAGCAGTTGTCTGCATCGCTTACAGAAGGTACTGTGTGCAACTGTAAGAGAGAGTAGTCCTTAAGCACCTCAAGCAAGGCCATGATCTGTAGAGTGTAACAATACCAGCTAAAAAGTGTGGTAGACTTCTTCTCCCTGAGGAGATAGATGAACCTCCTCTGTGAGTTCAGCAATCATCGTCTAGCAGCTGCTAAGACATACTAACTCACAAAGTCTTTCACCTACACAAGGAGCATGGGGAGCCAATTGAACTTACGAAGTCTTATATAGGCATTAATTTTGCTTTCTGTCAAGACATGGGTATGTATAACGGAAGGCAACAAGAACAAGTCATAAAGTCCCCCATGGAATAGATATGATCGGTCTAGACAACTAACTATCTTGCTGGGAGTCTCTCTCTCGGTGTGCTTCTCCCCTTCCCAGGTTATCTATGCTGGAGAACTACAAATGTTAGTATTCGTACAGGCTGCAGGGTACTTAACCCATTCATCGAATCATTGGTCCTCAAAAGAAACAATGCTGGAGTACATTCACACATTTTGTGTTCCCTAGTGTACATGAACAAACAAAGAGAGGAACACGATCTTCCAGATGATGCTCTTGGGTTGGGCCGTTTTTGTTCCAGCTGTATGTACA